TAGTTGGTGAACAAGAAGGCCTAATAGCAGAGAAGGCATTCTTCATGGGCGAGACACTAAGGGTGGGCACACATTTGGATATCGAATCTGAGCTAAATCTGATCAAAGAGACCAGGAGAGAACTAAGAGATGCTGGTTCCACGGAGAAAGATGAGAGGAAAGTCATGGAGAAACTTGGCCTCAAGAGGTCAGGCATAGGAAACTTTACAAAAAGGAAAACAACAACATACTTAAGCATTCATACTCTTTTCTGCTGTTGATGCATTTGTCTCATGCTTATGCACCAATGAATGAAGGGCACGAAACTTTGGGTGGCCAAACACCTATGTCTTCACTAAGGCAATGGGGGAGATGATGATGGGGCTCTTGCGAGGGGACTTTCCAGTGGTCATCATCCGCCCGAGCATCATAACCAGTACACTCAAGGAGCCATTGCCTGGATGGATGGAAGGAATTAGGTGTTGGAACTCAAAATTGAATTCTTGATCCTTCACAAGGACAGTGATCATGGGTTATGCCAAGAAGACCTTACCATTCTTTCTAGGCAACCTTGATTTAATACTCGACATGGTGAGTTTGTTCACAAATCATAAACCAAAATTTGGAAGGAAACATGCCCAAGGAACCATTTGACGAGCTATATGTGATGTGTTGTTGGTATTGGTGGGTGGTTTGGACAGATTCCGGGGGACATGGTGGTGAATGCTATGATGGTTGCCATGGCAGCACACTCAGATGATCAAAAAGGTCAGATCATCTACAACGTAACTTCGTCAGTAAGCAACCCAGCACCCTCAGGCCTAGTCATAGATGCAATGCACCGTTACTTCTTTGAGAACCCGCCATGCAAAGGGAACGGTGGGCGTGTTCGGCTGAAGAAAATGCGATTCTTTAGCATGCTCACGCAGTTGAGATTGTACATGGCCATCAAGTACAAGCTTCCCCTCGAGGTCAGTTCACCATCTCAACGTGCAAGAGTTGATTTTGCAGATGCCACATGAATGTAATTAATGTTATGTGCCTTTCTACGATTGGCGTGATAGATGCTTCGCCTAGTGAGCATCGCACTCTGCGGCATTTTCTCAGAATGCTACAACAAGCTCAATGGAAAATACAGTTTCATCATGCAGATGATCGAGCTCCACGCACCATACACCTTGTTCAAAGGGTGGTAAGCAACTTAAAAACGTGTCAAAATGTTATTTTGGTTTACTTTGGCAATTACACAGTACATCACCGTGTCCAGTTACATATCAAGATGCACACCACCATTAAAATCCTGTTACTTGACTTGATTTTATCAATCCTGTGAAGCTTTGAAGACACGAACTTGGTGAAGCTAAGGACGACGATGAATAAGGACGATCAAATTAACAATGGAGCATATTACTTTGACTTTGATCCCAAGTCCATAAACTGGGTTGATTATTTCTATGGTGTACACATTCCTGGTGTGCTTAAATATTGTATTTAACTAGCCAAATTTCCAGCAAGTTAAACCTCTTGTAGGGGCTATCATATCAAGTATCATGCATGCCAACTACTAGACAACTTGGCTGACATGTCATACAATTAAATAAAGAAAGAGAGATTTGGGTATCATATCATGATGTACTACTATGTGTCAACCAAAACATATAAAATACTAACTTGTGATACTATACACTATGAGGTATTATCATACACTAGTATCATATACTAGTGTATGATACTTCCCACTACGAGCAGCCTTACCCCGGAAATACAACAATTGTACTATGCTTCCCATGCAACTCTTATGAACATGTATTGTACTCCCTTTGTTATGCAACTATCCGGAGTATGTTTGCAAATGTACTGCACGGAAATGAGGGTAGTATTTTCTGAAAAGGAGCATATTAAGTCAGTGGCGGAGCTAGCCAATCAATGGAGCCGGGGCAAAATACAAAGGGATGTGGTTCATGGGCATTTGCCCACTAAAACTGATGATTAATTCTTCATCTTCTTCTATAATCAAAAAGGAGTTTCTAGGCAGAGCCCGGGCAGCTGCCCAGGGTTGCCGGGAGGTGGCTCCGCCACTGTATTAAGTCATCATATATATGGCCACCTTTTTTTGACATAACATGCCAACCTAGGTGAAGTTTTTCAGCGTCTGTCGCAAGGCACACAAAAGAGAAGCAGTGATGTGCAAAATCTGCCTAGAGGAAAATATGAAAGCCACAAACGTGCAAGTTCGGTCTAATTAATGGAGCTCGGTGCTAATCAAGTGGACTTGTCGTGCCATCTATATGAAAAAATGATGCTTATACTATCTTGTGAAATTCTCTAACTGTTTTGCGAAATTTGCATACTAATATTCAAAATTTTGACATGGTCTTCCGTGTGCATCTTAGAACATCATTTGTATATTCATATGCTTATATGAAATTATAGCTGATAGTATTATGGGGAAAAGCCATGTTGAGTTGTATGACGCACAAATTTACCTTTTATATTAGTAACTAATGTTAGAAAATGTTCCGTCAAAAGATTGGCTAGATGTAGCAAGGTTATTGTCGTAAGTAATATTCAAAAATCAGCCAAATTTGGATTAGTTAAGCTTATGGTTCCTCTTCATGATCCTGGCATTAATCCGACGGAACACTACAAACTAATACCAATAGCAGGAGAATTTGCCAAGGAGTTGCGCACGGGTCACTTGGCTTCAAACATTCGTTTGCATATGTACTGAGAAACAACATGAGGTTTGCCTATTACACAAGAGCAAAAGAATGATCGAAAAGAACATCTCCGTATATGGTATTCACCTGAATGTATTTATGGAACAATGCGTAGATTGTACATAACATATTTTGATTTGCATCCACTACGCATGGTACCTTGTACAACTAAAGATCCAGTTATGAAGGAATTACCATGAGTGGCACTTGTCTTTTTCCGCATCACGATCCTTGCACCTCTAATATAGCCACCCATTTTCCGCATCACGGTCCTTGCAGAACTTTTGTCTTTTTTGCTTTATCTTAAATAAAACAACTTATGAACTTAAAATTTTGCAGGACAACAAAAACATCCTAACTGAAATGTGGGCACAAATTTTTGGATTTTTTCGTGCATCATAAGTACTTCAAATAATTTTTTTTCTCAAGAAAAACAAAATCCCATTTTGTATGTTTATGTTGGACCAAAAAATCAAAAGTGTTTTCACACTGAAGTTCTAATGTTCGGTTGACCCGTGAAGTTTGAAGTCCATATGCTGTTTCATTTAGGAGAAACACAAAAGAGAAACTTTCAAGTATTAAGTTAGTTGGCTAGCACAAATCTCAAAGCAATGTTGGAGGGTAAGGATAAGAGCTGGCATGGAGCCCGAGTTCCAACAGACCACTCTCCTCTATCTCTATGGTCTTATAACATGGCTTCTGTAACTGTAGCCGTTCTTTTATTTTTCATGGCATATCGAGTCCAGTTTTGTCTCTCAATCCCTATATGTTACTTCCATTCCTAAGTATGCAACTTGCCCAAAGTAGGCATACTTTACCGGAAAATTCGAATCTGAGCCCGAGCTCAGCTGCACCTGCGCTCACGAAAAAAATCAAAATAAATACTAGAAAAATTCAAAAAATTCCAAAAAAAATTTGGGTGGTGGACAATTTGATGCGTGAGGTACGCTCCAACTTTCAAAACATTTGGACTTCTGTGCAGCTCTCAGCAAAAAAGACAAATCGGAGGTCTGTACTGTTCTAGTCTGATTTGTCTTTTTTGCTGAGAGCTGAACAGAAGTCCAAATGTTTTGAAAATTGGAGCGTACCTCACGCATCAAATTGTCTACCACCCAAAAAATTTTTGGAATTTTTTGAATTTTTCTGAATTTTTTACGAATTTTTTTTGACCGGATGCAGATGCACCCGGGCACCGAAACGCTGTTCTCTACTTTACCCAGTTTCTTCCCTAGGACCCAGTTTTATCTTCCGTTAGAGGGTGGAGAACTGCTTCCCATGCTCAACCGCCGGCGGCGAACCCATGGGATATCCCTCCTTTCGTCAGCTGCTCCAGCTGAAGGGAGGTGTGGATATATTCGGTGCTTCGACGTCGGCTATAGATAGGTTAGGAATAGTTTTCATGGCGGTGCGCTTCGATGCTGGCGGTGGCGTCACTCCGTCGAATAAATTTGCCTCGACTTCCCCCATCTCGGTGGTGCTCTCCTAGGTGGCGCCGACAGGTCGATGGCTCGTGTCCCTCGCTGGTCAGTCAGGTCGGCGAGGGTAGTTTTTCCATGTATGGGTTGGCAGTTGTTGTTCTTATCAGGGGCAATGGCGACCTAAGCAAGAGGATGGGTAGTGTTGGTGCTCGGTTGGCAGATGCAGCAGCAGGAAGCCTTACTGCTCTTCTTCGACTTGATCGAATGAAGACAACGGCGCTGAAGTCCGGAGGGTGCCACAGGAGTGTCTCCCCGCCGACATGCCACATTAGAAATTGTTCTCCATTCGCGGTGGATGTGCTCTTCAGCTCAAAGCGACTCTAGTCGCAATGGTGCTCCTTCCGATTTGAGTGTATTGGATCTTCATCTCCTTCCCCTGGCGATATTTCGTTGATCGTGGGTGACGGCGGTGGATTGTTGCTTTTATGTATGGAGTGACCTCCAAGGACTTGTTTGCTCTGTTTTTTTTTGGAGTCCTTTTTGCAATTGTACCGGGACAAATGTTCTTCTTGCTTTGTCTTGCTTGGGTGTATGTGTGGTGTTGTAACCGTATTTTCTTATGAAGACGTAGCAACCTTTTCTCAGAAAAATAATATTTTCATCCGTATTGTTAATGAGATAGTTGAAGAGCTCTACTTTTCTACTATTACAAGGGGCAACAATGCGAAAGAACTATATTGTCAGGACCTTGAGAAAATATACTATGGGTTAGATGTTTATAGCTGTCATGATGTTTGGACATGGTCGGCTGGGAGGAGGACCTAGGATCCATTTATATACTGAGAACCAAAATGAGGTTATGTTTGAAAAAAAGATTACCCCGGCCTCTGCATCTGGCCCATGCATGCAGCCATTTTATTAATTATTCACGAAAACCATACAAAGTAGTATATTAGGTAGTCTGAAGCCACCATCTTAACAACATATATCGCTACTCTTATCCACTTTGGTGTGCCAATAGTCCGAGCCTAATACCAAATGGACATTGCACCAAAACGTAACATCTAAATCCGGAGACCCCAACCCAGCCATATACCGGGTTTGCAGCGCAATCTGGTCCGACGCACTCTCATGTTTCGTTGCCACCATCTTCCACTAATTAGTCTTCAGAGCGACACTAACGTACCGACATTGCGAGGCCTCTCTACTATCAATGCCACCATGACGCCAGACAACGTCCTCCTCCTGCGCGAGTTCATCTTCACGCATCGGACGCCGAGTCACCACTGCGCCATGCCATCGAGATCCGCCGCCATCAATGTATAAGAAGAAGTACCGCTTCACCAAAGAAGCCTTCCACTGGTCCCTCGGGGCCGTGTACACCTCCAAGAATAACGCCCCCAAGAGGAAAACGACACCAGAGCGCCGCCGTCATCCGATCTACTGATTTAGGGTTTCCCCCGGAGGTAGCAGAGAGCGGCCTTGAACTTCTCCATGGTGATGCCTTTAAGGAGGGAACGACGCAGACAACGCCGCCACCGCCGGCCTTGGCAGCTAGCCGAGAGCAGGTTTTCACCCAGATCTGTTCGAAGAGCCTCCCTCAAGCATGTCGTGCACGGTCCGCCGCCATCTGTGCCGGGGACTGGACGAAAAGGATCCAGTCCGCCGCTGCCTGACCGGCCATGACACCACCACGATACCTACAGCCGGTGCCAGCACTAGCAGGCATGCTGAGGCGCGGCACCGTGCCATACTAGATCCAGCGAACGGCACGCCGTCCGAGCCCGAATCTCACCCAGATCGGCAGCGGCGAGGGGGGTGGATGGGATGGGTGGGGTGAGGAGAGGCTGCGCCGGCCGCGGCCCCCGAGGACCCAGGTCGGGCTCGCATGGGCGGCCAAGACCGCGACCGCACGCCCGCGACGGAGCTCCCATCGTGGCGACACCGCGCCGCACGCCAACAACCACCGCTGCCACAATCAAGGACGCCGCCGTGAAGACGAGCTCCGGACAGTCACCAGCCGCTCGAGATCTCCCCATCAAAAGAGCAGCCGGCGAGGAGCACGAGTCTCGCCGCTGGATGGGATGGGTGGGGTGAGGAGAGGCTGGGGGGTTCGCCGGCCGTGTCGCCCCTGGGAGGGAGTGGCGCGGGGGCACCGGTACCCCTGAATCATTGATCACCAAAATGAGGTTATGCAAGGACGCAAGGACATAAATCAACAGCAAGTCGGAAGGCGTACAAGAAACTGGTGCAAGGACTAGGACTGTAAAATTCTGTGTGTTTCACAAATTGGTGCTCATAAACATTGATACATTTCAGAGACTGCTGCATGCCCATAGAAAGATCAATCATGGCAA